CATTATCCGACTAACGTCTAACATCTTTTAGAATTTTGTTTTAATCTCAACACTTTGCAAACTTATCCATTTATTATAACACATAGGGATATGATTTGTTATTTATACTCCATAGTTGATACGTTTACTAATCAGATTCCACCTGTCCATTTCAAATCGGACTATTGTAGAATTTATTTCAAGACAGAAAAGAATAAAACCTTATGCAGAATTTTCTTGATTGTGTTTTTTACTTTATAATATTAAGAAATGATAAACAAAGTTAAGCTTAGTTTCAAGTTAATGACATGTTTATTTACTTTGAATGAGTAATATGATCTAACAATATTCTTTTACATTTGTAAGTAAGAGTTTTAGGTTCGAAATAGTGAATGGCAAACTCAGACACCAACTTATTATCCACACCCCTTATTGTAAACTTATCGATGCATTAGAATGATAATACCCCGATGTGCTTTATATAGGCTTTGAGTAAAATTTCAACGTGTTTCTTATAAAAACGCTTATAGAGACACACCTAGAATCTTTTTCCCCGTGCAAACACAGATATGAGTAGGATGCGTTGGACCATAACCCCACCCAACAAGTGAGAAAATCAAAAGTTCAGTTTTATATGTTACCCGAGCCCATCCAATCCCCAAAATCCCAACCCAACCCAATCTTGTTGTTCGGTTTTGCCCACTTAATTGTATTGGCTCTCATACAAGCTTGAACACCTACAAAAACAATACAAAACATAGCTTCCTGATTTCAAAGGATTAATGCTCGGTGTTCATTCCCGTTCGACATGGTTGTTGTTGATTGGATTAACTCGAGTTAACCTCCACGTCCGGTCATGTCGTACCAGTCTGTTCGGAATATTAATGTCGTTAATAAATGCATGGAGCAGATAGGCCTTGAAGTGCATAGCATATAATCTTCCCCGGTATTCAGAGCTCGAGAGGGGATGCAAATTGATGGCAAAACTCTGACGGAGAATTTTTTACAACTTCAGATACAAAAGATTGGTTCGGACAAATACTTAAATTGAAAACCTCCCTCCCTCACATCATAAAAGTGATCATAAACAAAAACTGAATATCTTATAATCCCCTAAAGCATGTTATGGGAATAATTGATTAACAGGTCTAGCAATTGTAAGGGGAAACTATATGCATTTTGCTCCAACGAAAAATGTTGTACCGGAATTTACAGACCGTATTCAACCCTCCATCTGTAAATCAGCAAAAAAATCATTTGAACTTCCCGAAACACGATCTTTGCTTGCATTTTTCCTTTTTGTCCCTGCAAAAGATAGTAACATCGGTTAAATAATGCTTTTTGATAATGACTATTGTGCTTGGTTTTGGAGCCAAACCGAATTTCTATTCTTTTAATTATGTAAACAAACCTTTGTTCGACTTTGGAGGATTAATATCCATATCCATATCATCACTATCGCTGTCCTCCACAGCTGCTTGAGGCTTTGAAGGCTTCGTCGAACCTTGCAATAACTCATCCATATCCCACAGCTGCGTTAAGCAATTGTCAAGAGTCAATTCGTATAACTACTAAGATCATTACAAGAAAGTAGGTTGAAATCATAAACGTGACAGATTAATAAAAGAGCATTGAGAGAGAGGGGGAGAGAGAGACACACCTTCAACATCTGATCATGTGCTATACTGCCCAGAAACTTTTTATCATGGGAAAAAGCTACAAAACGAAACAAGACAGCTTGTTAACCAACCACAAAACAAATAAGAAATTTGCATTAGGTTGATGGTAAAGATTCAACAACGAGACCATATTATACTCAGCAGCAATGAGTTTGCCACCATAATGTATTTTCTATGAATAATACGCTGTTACATAATGTGCTCAACAATAAAAGTGGAATTACGAAACACACTTTGGTTACTCAACCCTCTAAAAAGAAAAGAATGCATTACCGAGACCCTCAACCGGGTATTCTGAGTGCTCTGCAATAGGTTGGATGACTCTGTTGGGTAATATACCAACTAGGCTGAAAGAAATTTATATGAAATCAATCTTAATGCTAAAAAGGTTAAAGAACAATGAAATATAATGAATCAATTCTGCATGCTATTTCACCTGATAAGTCCAGTTTCAGATCCAGCGATCAACCTATCTTCATCAAGCTGACACAAGAAATTTTAAAATGATTCAACTAACACTCGTACAAAAATTAAATGCCATCAAATGTAAAACGTATATATGACCAACTCACCTTCAACAAAACATCAACAGAATTCGGAGAGAGATCAACAAATCGATCACTGGAATTCAAAGGGTCATCCAGAAAGGAAAATCAGACGTGGGAAGGAGAGAGGAGCAATAAAGTTGAAAGTATTTCTTTCATGATTAAAGACAACATCTCTTCCGGATTGTTACCCCCACCAATTACGAATTTCAACTTTTTAAACATGATTAAAAATGAAAATAACAAATACCTGCAATCCTTGAAAGATCCCCATGAGTACAATAACAGATTCCCAATGTGTGAGCTGCAAACCACTTTCCGACCATTCTGACCAACAAAACAAATGAAAAAGGCATGGAATAAAGGAGAAGAAAAGCAGAGGGAAAAATATATGATATTGATGAAATCATAAAATCACGGGAAGAAATTCAAAGGGGTAGAAAGCAATGCCACCTTCATGATAACCACAGACAGTAGCTCCTCTTCTGAAAATTCAGATTGAGCTTGCACCTGTCATTACCATAGAACCAAATTTGGAAATCTTTTAGTAATCCACTATAAGCATTGACCTTGTATTTTACAACAGTTCTAGAAAGGAACAAACCCTTACTTTATTTCTTCGAAGATTGCAAACAGAAAGAGTCCCATCTCCACTTAACAATGCAAAAGAACAAATATAAATGAACAACTCTTGAGGGTTGCATTTGCCGCAAAAGTAAGGGAAATACAATAAAAAAACAAGTGCATGAAGGACTACCTAGTTCCTAGGAGTTTCATGGAATCAGCCGCAAAAGTCATATCAGAAATGTACTCTTCATGAGCTTTAAAAGTATTGCAGCAAGACTGTTGCCTGGTATCCCACACCTGACCAATAAGCAATGTCAAAAAATGACAAAACCAACGAAAATAACGGTAAACGAAGCACAAGCAAAACACAAAATGACCTTAATACAGCCTTCGTCATCTCCAGAGGCAACTGTGGACTCAGTCAAGTTTATAAGCTTATTGACTGCAGACCTGAATTTGATTAAGGAATGTTAGGTCATGATCTAAATGAGAATTTCTTGAGAGCTGACTAATTGCAGAGCACAGAGAGAGAGAGAGAAAGAGAGAGAGAGAGAGACCCGTGAGCCTCGTCGAGGCGAGCAATAGCAGCACCAGTTTCCACATCCGTTGCAAGAATTGAACAGTCGGGAGAGCCCGTCAAAATTGCTAACATCATCATCCATCAGTAACTTCTTATTAGCACAACTAATTATGATATAGTAACAATATCAAATAACTAAAAAGTAAAAACTCAATGATACCTTGGCCATTGTTGATGAAGCGAACAGCTCTGCAAGATTCACTGTGTGCATGAACTTCCAACACCCTAATATCATATTCATCTCAATCATCATCATAGTAATAATAATCATATAAGAATGCAAAAAGTAATTAAGAAAAAATAACGGAGAAACTTAAGAAAATTGACCTTTGAGGTACTGAATCAGATGCATATCGGTACAAGTGAAGATCGCCATTGATAAGACCTGTAGTCACCAAGTGCTGCGATGGATGAAAATCAATGTCAAACGCCAAGTGCCCCAAATTTATCTCCATTCCTTTATTACTTTCCTCTTTCTTTCTCACTATATGTAGCGAACGATCAGTGCGTACTTCATACAAGCAAAAATGTTCGTAGGCCCGTACGACAGTTGCAGTCTGAACTCTAAATTTTCCTCAGTTCAATCCAGTACAAACTTGATTGCTTTTCTACTGGGAAAAAAGAAAGGAAAATGCAGACATTAAAAGCTGTTGTCGAAACCAACCCGAATAGTAGATATGAACAATTCACCACAAAACTGAGATAAATTCAACTAGAATATGTTTAAACTCAATCACAACAAAAGAGAGAGCTTACTGAAGTTGAAAATTTCTAAATCCAAAAATAATCAAATAAACTGAGAGTAATCATTTCAACATGCAACCCGAACATAAAAATTAATATAGTTCATATCCAATTAATTCCAATCAATTCGGCCTCCAATTTATGCAAAATAATTCAAAATTTTCAATTTAATAATAGTAATCACAGAAAATTAAGAAAAAGATTATTGCCGAAAAAGATGAAGCATGACTTACGCAGTGAAGACTGAGACTGAGAGAAGGAGGGAAGGCGGCGGCGGTGTCTGTGGCGCTGAGACCGACGAAGAGAGAGGAAAAGGAGGAAGAGGCAGAGGTGCAGCGGCAGGCAACAAGGGAAGAGGCGGAGGGGTTTTGAGGGGACTTAACGAAGGCACATGACGTAACCACTGGGCTGGGATCTGTTTGGGCTATAATAACTGAAGGCCCACATTCGAATCCAGTCCAATAGTTTTGGACTTTGGAACACCCAATCAAGTTGATCCAAAATATAACGGTTTCAATCGGATTAATAATACTTTAACCCAACCCAACCCACCCACTAAACGGATTTTTTACCCAAAAGTAAAGTTTCAATGCTTTAAAATCCAACACAAACCAACTCATGCCGGGTGGGTTGGCTGGTAAACCCATTCCAATGCCCACCCCTAATTTGGACTAAAACTCTCGTAATAGATGTTAAGGTAATCTACGTTGGCTTTGCCCCATTCTTTTACCATCCGGAGAGAAACTATGAAGTTTACTCTAGCAATAATATGGTTCAAATTTGACTTTGACGATAATCGAACCAAAGACCTCTCACTTACAAGTAAAAAAGAATATCACTAGACCGTGACAACTCTCATAATAAATGCTAAATTTGAAGTTTACTCTAAAGTAAACAATTCGAGAATGTTCTGAGGCAAAAGAAAAAGATTGATTTATGAATTGTCGAAAACATTGCCAAAAATACATTAAAGGAGAGAGCAGCTGGGGAAAATGCCCCTTACAATACTAGTACAGATCGAAGGATTAAAAATTTTCGAGCTCAGATACGAAATATGCATCCTGGCTGGAAAATTTTACCCAGATACGTATGTGAATGCTAGGTCCTGGAAAAACATTCCTCTGTGCTCAAAATTTCTAAATTCATCAAAGCTTGCACAACCTGGACTTAATACAATACTGTCCCCTGCGATAATCAGAGAATAATGAAATAAGCTTGATATCTTCGCGTCGCTAAAATTCATAAATTTTAAGGTAATACATTTCTTAAAACAATGCTCAATGCCAATCATTTAACGTAGAGATTTTATAACTGGAACCCGCTAATACGCAATTAAACAGAAATGGGCTGGAAATAGACAAACAGATTTTCTAGCACTTTTGAGCAATGATGTACGTACCATGTTCTGCCATACTCCTAGCCCAGTTGACAGCTTCCTTAAGATTTACGGCTCTGATGCAGGGAATGCTAAGACCGTTATCAGACAGCGTCTTCTTAATCAGCATTCCGGAAGACCCAAACTTCGAGACATTGGTCAACAGTTAGCATTAGTCAGGGAGAATATTTAGAATTTATTGGTAAAAAATTATCACAAGATGCAGGTAAACTATGTTTCATATTGGAAAACCACTACGAGATTTGAAGGCACAAGCACTGATATGCGCAACTAAGTATAAATCAAGAGGAAACGATAATATACCGTGATTACACATCTCTGGTACTTCAAAGGTTCTATCAATCGTTCAAAACCATTACACTCTTGTCCATCTAACACCTGCAAAAGAAAAACATTATCATGCAACTTTTAACGGTGACTTTGTTTGAAGAAAAAACAAAGTTAGATCACATAAACGAGAAAGGTACATTAACTTTATTAAAATAATGTAAATTTCATTGGAATTCCTCCTAAAATCTAAGGTAATTATTTCATTTACGAGTAAAGTTCAACGTAATAAAGTTAAATTTAAAGTGAGACTGTGAGAGTCTAGTTCTTCAATTCATAATACGTACTAATGATGCAACACTACTAGCACATGCACTAACCATTTTGACTTATCTAATGCGTACTCAAATGAGTATTTGGCAAGCACAACAAACAGAGATTTCTTACATTAACTTGACGCGTAAAATGATAAAAGAACTTCGCATTTTCATTTCTACTATAAATAATGTCTCTGTTAATTCATTAATCTAACTCCAATTAATTTTCTCTCTTTTCCTCCCCACTTGACTGGTGAACGCGATATCCTACTCTAAGCTTTTCATGTAAGGAGAAAAAACAAAGGCAACTGAGCAAATATGAAGATTAAAGCAGCATTTAGCAACTAGGATAAATTGTAACCTTCGCAAGGCCCCCAAGTAGAACCACAGACTTTTGTTTCTTTAGACCCATTAGTCCTGCGTATGTTGCTTCCACATTTGTTGCCTTACTGTCATCGACCCAGGTTACTCCATGGATATCCTTGCATACTGCATAACAAAACTAAGTAGTGAAAAAGATATAAATTTGATCCACGGGAAAAAAGGGTATGCTCCAACTCCTTGATTTCATATTTCCAATCAAGATCAAGTGAAGAAAGAAATAGCTCACTACTTAGAGAGGTGCATCTGTTTCAACTAACCAATTTGCATACGATGAGGTGGTGCCCTTAATTTTTCAATACATGGACCTATCGCTTCAACATCAACTCCAACATTCAGTCCAACAACAGACAGAACAGCCACCGCAGCATTGTGAAAGTTGTGTCCCCCCATCGTTTTCATTGCCCCCAATTGTAGTTGTGAATTGACTCCCAATGCAGGCACTTCAAAGCTTGCAATTTTTGTCTCCATGTCAATCTTTCAAATTTTAATACACATTACCAAATTAAAATCATATATGATACTAAAAGTAAAACTGAAGAAAGGCAGAAAGGAGAAAACATGAATGAAGTCTAAATTTAGACTTGTATATAAATTATGGTTTATGTTTCATTCCAAAATTTACCACCAATGACTTTGAGCCGTAGCTTTCCAAAAAAAAAGAATTCATTCACTGTTTCTAAAATAAAATGGCAACACTACGACCATCCAAAATAAGACAATTTTCCAAACTCTTGATCTCACGTGGGGCTGGACTTCTATCTTTATTTCTCCAAATATTTGACATTGTTATGTGGACTTATAATGGTCCATTACTTGAAAATTGAACAGCAAAGTTCCTAAAATAATAAGCGAAGTAATTCTTACTTTCACACCTGGAATGGCTCCTATCCACGCAAGATTAAGTTCATTCAAGCTTTCAATAATTGCTTCATCTAAGTACTGGTTTCCTGAAATAGATTGCAGGAAAAGCCATCAGAAACATATACCCTGGAATGGCTCCTATCCAGGCAAGATTAAGTTCATTCAAGCTTTCAACAATTGCTTCATCTAAGTACTGGTTTCCTGAAATAGATTGCAAGAAAAGCCGTCAGAAACATATACCAAGTCTCATATAAGCAACAATGGTATGGTATCACCCAAATCACATATACATACACAGACACCAGATGAATGAGGATAAAGTGAAACCAACTGAAAAGGTTCTGGTCATCATCTATTTTCCAGGACTTTTACACATGGTTTTAAATTGCCAGCCTCCATGCATCCTACGCAGTATTTCACAACGTTTGTGCTTTGTACTTTCAAAGATGTCCAGTGTAACCAAATAGAAACATATATAGTTTGACTCAAAGGGATGTACATAACTCTCAAACAAACAAACTGTATGAAATTAATGGAAACATCAACACATAACAATCTACCTGACACGAAATAGATCTACATTGACCAACTTGCATTCCCTATCCCCGACCTGAGATCACCGGCCTAAAAGACGAGCAAACACTTGAATGTGAGAGCTAGGGATCACTCAATGAATGGATGAGAGTGGCAGTCCGAATCTTATCTCAACTGCGAGAATAACTGATTAAGCTGGCATAAGGGTCATTCTCCAAACAGGATGGGGCCAAAGAAAGAGCGGCCATAGGATTACTCCGGGAGATAATCCAATGGACTTAGGAGACCCTCTCTTTAAGTATCACAGAAACCACAGCTAATCGGAAAGAGAAGTCATCCCAATATCACTTTTAGAAGTAGATTTTTAAGCCAAAGAAAGAAAGTAAAACGTATTGTTGTGATCAAGGTTCATCTACATGTCAACATCCGTATACCTTCAGGGTCTGCATTGAGGTCATTTTTAAGGAACCTAACAATTTTCTTTTCTAAAATCAGTTATATAGAAACCTGAGAATTTGTTTCTTAAAAAGAAGAGGAAAAAAAATAAAAAATCTAAGCATTCGACTTCACAGGTTCTCCATTCCTAGTTTAATCTTGCTATCAGAAAAACGGGTTTAGTCATCATGCATGATGTCTAACCCAACCACACAAACTCACTTTTTCGTGCCTTACCTATAATCTAATAGGAACCTATTAATAAAACTGCAATGATGGGGTAAATTGCTAACAATGGATGTCAGGAATAACTTCAGAAAAGTTCTTTAGACCCAAAATACATTTACTCAGAGAATGACAAAGTGCATACCAAAACAAAGAAGCCCAAGCTTGGCACCAGTCATGTGAAAAATAACCGGCATTTAGTCAGTGCATAATCCCTCATTGTTCCGTGCCTTTCTAGATGATCAGGTGTAAGGTTTAACACCACAGCAACCTACACAAAAGCATATTATATTGGAGGAGGAAATAAAGTGTGAAATATTTATAAAGCTGGAAGGGGGTGCAACAAAGCAAATTTTCAAAAAAGCTGGATGGCAAGTGCCTTCGCCCATGAGCGGTAGGTCTCGGGTTCGAGACTTGGGAGCAGCCTCTCCATAAATGGGGGTAAGGCTAGCCGACATTCACCTCTCCCAGACCCTGCGTAAAACGGGAGCCTTGTGCACTGGGTACGACCTTTAAGGGGGTGCAACAAAGCAAATTTTCAAAAAAGCACTTACAGAAGGGCAGAAGTACTTGCTGGGAATCTCCATTTGATAACTGCTTACCTCCACAACTGCAACCTGGAAAAATGTAGCAACATCCGTATATGTCTGTTACGTGCCTCCTATTTACTTCAAATTTCAAGTTGAGCCAAAAATTCTAGTTAATCAATTACTTTCAACTATGCTATTGCAAAATCACTTTCACAAACACAGGAACACAATTCACCCAGACTATTGGACATACCTTAAACTTGGGTTTTGAAGAAGGTGGCTGTAAGCATTGGAAAGCAGCCTCTGAGAGTGGGTTACCAAGGTTACCCCCAACAAATGTCTCGATTCCAAAATGACTAAGCATCTACCTTCATATGAGAAAAAAAATTAATTATAGAGGAATAGTAAGGACTCCATTTTTTAACAGGATAAATTCATGATATAAGAAACTAAATTTATCCTAGTATTCTACTTAACAACTCTCTTTATTCCAACATAACTTTGCATGGATGCTGCAGCTTCTATAGACAGCAGACAGGGACTTGTACCAATTGAAAGCAATGCATGCTGGAAGCAATGTCAAGGCAGCTTATCTAAGAATTTGACGATTATTCATCCATTTTTGGAGTTTGGGGATTGGTGGAACACATTTAGGTTGTTATACTGTGAACTTCAGAAATGATAGCATTTTTCTCACTGTCCATTTTTCATTTGGGCTTTAGATTAAGTGTTTCGGTTCAGATTTCTGTTGCTATCAGTAACAATATGAGACGTTGATACTGAAATTACCATGAATAAGCATAAATTAATTCGACCCCACTTAGTGGGATAAGGCTTTGTTGTTGTTGTAAGCATAAATAAATAAAAAGAGTAAGATCTAGTACCTGTCCAGCAAAGTGACTACAGTTGATTTTCCATTGGTCCCTGTCACTGCTAAAATCTTTACACTTTTTGGGAGAATTTCAGCAGCAAAGTCCAACTCAGACATTACCTGCTTTCCCTGCATTTCAGCAGCAAAGAATTCATGACAAAATCTCAGGAATCCACAACTAAACTAAATAAGGCTGCATATTTCCCTAAATGAGGCATTGTCCAATGCCTTTACTTGAATGAATCCATTCAAAACGGATTACAGAAACGGTACACCACCAGTCCACACGTGTATAACCAAGGAATGTTATGATACATAAAGCAAGGCACGTAAATGTATATATTTCTCCAAAGCTTAAACTTATTCAAAATTAAACTTATAGGTTTTGCATTGGTGGGGGTAAAGAAAAGCAATGACTTTAAATAGGTTTTGTCACAAGGAAGTGTGGGCTTGGAAACAAGCTTGGACTCTTAACCTAGAGCCAGCCTTTCTTCTTAAGAGGCACTTCCTGAAAAGATTGAAAACAAGTCTAGACTCCATTGGAGCCAACCTCTGAGTTTCAATTGCCGATGTGTGAATCTCCACGTGTGAACCACTAAATGGGGTTACACGTGAGGGGGCGTGTTAGCAGTTCCACATCAGTGGAGGTAAAGAAAAGCAATGACTTTAAACAGGATTACTCCACTCTAACTAATACGAGGCCTTTTGTGGTAAAGTTGGGGACAGTATTGGTGTCGTTAGAGTGGAGCCCCCCGGGCCCGTCGATCTAAAAAAATTCCAACAGGTTTGTCGTCTTCGATTTATTCATTCAACGGTTGCACCAAAGCTTAAACTTATTCAAAATTAAACATATAGGTAGATTGTCTTTAGATTTATTCATTCCATGGTAGGCACACATTATGACGCACTAACTTACCGACTGCAACAAAGAGGAAAGACCATAGTTTTGCAGGGGAACTCCAGGGGACACCACAACCCTGTCCGCATTATTAAGTAGCTCCTCGTCAAATTCACCCAGGATTGTTTTCAATCCACCTATTCCGTTATATTGCTTCTTGAAGAGCGGATCTTTCTGCAACCAACTAGAACTTAAACCACTAGAAATATGCATGATGATGGCAGGGAAATTGGGTGAAATGAGGGTTTTACAAATCCCAATTGCTGAAATGAGGATTTTAAATATGGATCAATATTAACAACATTATCAATTCAAACATACATGACATATCAATAAAATCCAGAACATTGATAGTTTCAGCAATTGGGATTAGTATTTTCATCATTTCAGCCAATTTCTCTTTCTTGTTTATGAATACAAACACAGCTGCACACACATGCACAATGCAATCAGTGGGACAAATGGATTTTTGGGCATACCTCTAAAAGACGCAGATTCGGGTTCTGATCGAAGGCGAAAACTGAAGCACCTCTGGCAAGAGCAAGCCTGGCCGCAGCTCTCCCAGATTTTCCCAACCCAACAATCTGCAAACACCAAACTTTCTCGGAAGATTGAATTGCAGTAATTTAACGGAATCAGAAAGGGAATCAAATAGCTTAGCTTACAGCAACGGATTGGCCTCGAAGGTCCTGTTCCGGAGCGCATGATCGGACGGTTGCTGGGAGTTTCAGCTCTGCGGAGCAATTGGGTTTGGGGCTGAGGGCTCGGATTGCATAGCCATTGTTCAAAGATTGCAGCTTCATGCCGATTGAGCATTTACATTTGTTTGTTCAAATGGGGTTTTGCTCGAATGCGCGGCAAAGTATTATATATCGTGCAGTGATCGGAGCCGTTGGGCGTCTTCCAGATGAACCGGGAAGAGGGGTTTTGTTTTCTTCTTTTTATTTTTGCAATTTCTGGTGTTTTGCGACATTTTTTTTTCTTAATAATAAATTTGGAAATGTTGTAAAATATAACGATTCACACTGAATGTCACACATATAATTATTTAAGAAAGCAAACAAAGTAGACTTTGATGATAACCGTTGAAAATCTTAGTTGAAAATATCTTAGAGTTATTAAATTTTTCTTCGTACATGTAAGATGTTGTTGATCAAACCTCTGTGTATAGAGATATGTTTATATTCCCAATAAACTTGATTAAATACCAAAACCCAAGTCAGCAAATAAGGTTCAACATTGGTTAACTTAAAAAGGAAGTTCACCAGAAAAAAGAAGGATGTTGGGTGTCTTTATAAAATCATAGGGTGTTAATAAAAGTAAATAAAAAATCACACAAGAGAAATAGATAGTTAAAAACATAAAAAAGTAACAAAAATTTAAAAAACTTACAAATAATATCTCATTAAGTAACAGAAATTTTAAAAAGTTACAAATAAAATCTCATTACTAAAGGGTTTTAATTAAAATGATATGTGGAATTTGTGTGACTTCTCATTCTATTATATAATAATAAATGTTTGGGTTAATATTTAACTCAAGACTTTGAGGGAAGAAAAGCCCAAAAGAGCTCAATAAATGAGAGTTTGCCCGAAGCCCAACACCAAGCCCAGATACTCATCTCTAGACAATATGACGGCTCCCCAATAAATACAAAGGTTAGGTGCTTACAAGGGAAGTGACAACCGATGGAAATCAACCAACTCTCGGCCCAAAAGCACTTTTCCAAATGGTAGAACATGTAAAAATACTGATGACTCACTACCCTTCAGTTGCTTTCGGATAAGAGCAGAAATGGTGTAGTTGGGCTAATTCGCCTATAAATAGGAGAAGAAGGCCAATAGACAAGGACAACATACAACTTGCCTCTCAGTCAAACAAATATCCAAAATGTTGTGCTTTGTCCAGATTCTACACCCTTTTAGCCTTAGACTTCTTTTAGAAAGACATCTTTTGTCTATGTAAAAGCTCTGCTACCTTCTCCAAATGTTGTAGTATCGATTCTCTTGTGTAAACTCATTTACCACTCATCCCTCTTTCAGTATCTAACCCTTTATAACTATGACAATGAAGAGATTGCAAGACGTTTAACCTTGCCCGCCAAGGTGAAATCGTGTCCGCCTCTCTTTGTTTTGTCTTTCAATTAATAAATCTGGTGTTATAATGTATTCCTTAGTATATATTCAAGTCATTTCCAATCTTTTGATGATTCAAAGTTCTATTAGTTCTCAGATCTGGTTCACTTAGTGGTTTTATTGTCATAAGAAGATTAAAAGTGAATTAAAACTGATGACTTGATCAGATCTGGATCTCCACCATTTAAGCATACAAGATAAAGAACTAAAAGTCCTTGATCTTAAGGCATAGAAAAGAACTTAATGTAGACTTAACCCATCTACAACAATCCTTTGATAACAAGAAGTCAGAATAACTTAGGGCACAAGTAATCGGCTTAAATACATTTGATCTACATTTGCCATACAGAGATGACAGTGGCACGCCTTAGCACATAGTTAGTTTTGATTGCAAGTCTCAAGATCTACACCTAAGGCCTCATAAAGGCACCTTTAAGAACTAACTTTGTCCTCTTCTTGCAGCATCTCGGCAAGCCGGAGCTCGACAATCAACCAAAGTGCCAACTCCTCGGGGAGTTGTGTGCTCAAGCTAGTGACTTGTTCAACCAAATTTCCTACCCGAACATAGTTTTGGCACGCCCGGTGGGATCATAAATCTTGTATGCCAAGAAGACAAAGGAAAGAATAAACTTTCAGAATGGGAGCAAAACAGAAACCACTAGTATATACCAAGATCTGGCATGGCAAATCTCCCCGAAGACTTGCAATGACCTGTCTTAACGAAAAGCCCGACTATTTCTGAGAAATCAAGAGGGAAGGTCACAAATGAAGACCTGCAGGTTACCATGATAACTGTCTTGAAAAGCATGGAGTAAAACTCTAAAAGCATGGAGAGAAACCCTCTAAAGACAAGAGAAGAAATCAACACTATGTTCATTAACAGGAAATCTACAAAGAAGGTTAGATCTGGAATACTCTACCTCAGGAAATGATCATGCTAGAGAAATGATGAGAAAAGCCAACCCTGTGGAAGAGCCAGTTATACCTCTGTTTCCTTTACTTGAGGAAAAAAAGGATAAAGGAAAGAATAAGGAAGAATCCGGAGCTAGTCAGCTAGTGTTGGAAGAAATTCTGGAAGCAGAGTTGCCCGACCCCCTATTTTCACTAAACAGTAGAGGGCAGAGCGGGCAAGAAAGAACGAAATATGGGATGCCCTAATTGATCTGGGAATCTAATGGGAAATGAGAGCCGACCAAGATTGACAAGCCTCCTCCTTATAGGCCACCACCAATGACCAATAAAGAAGGAGAGTTCAAGTAAAGGAAGCCCGAGGCAAGAAAGGAGATTAACTCGGGCAACAATTATAGCGAGAAATGGGAACCACTTCATCATACCCCGCCTAATAATACAGCACATTAACAACTCAGAGATGAGTTGGCTGAGTTAAGAAAGATAGGTGAGGAATGCCCCGCCACAAGCTTGCCCCCTGTTTAGAATCGCTTATCAAAAGCCCTATCTAGAGTTCATTGATGAGCAAAATCTCTTTCCTCTTAACTTCAAGATGCCCACATTCCCAATATTCAGCGAAGAAGATAACAATATGTCATTCGGAGATCACATCTTCAAGTTCTTCAACCATTGGGTGGCATTTGAAGACAATCCCAACTAGAAGTTGAGGTTATTTGGGAACTTGTTGGTGGGTTCAGCGTCTCAATGGTACTTTATATTGCCCCTAAATTCCATCGCTAACTGGGGGCAAATGAAAATGGCTTTCCATGAATAATTTTACAGAATGAAGCCAGAAATGACCATCAATGATCTAGTCGAGGTAAAACAATACGAGCATGAATCTCTGAAAGACTTCATTATGAGGTTTAGGAGGACAAGGATGAGATGCCAGTTTCTTATCAACCATGTCTAGCTTATATCTATTGCTCAAAAGGCCTTGAGATTACCCTTGAGGAAGAAATTGTATGACGTACAATTTAATGAGCTACAAGAGCTGGTGATTGCGGCCACTAAGTATGAGAAGTTGTTGCTTGAAGAGCAGTAATTGAAGCACTCTTCTAAAACGCCACATTTCTACAAAAGTAAGGCCGTCATCCACCAAGTGGAGTTTAAGGGAGAGCCAGAAGAAAATGATGGTCAAAGAGGAAAAGCGATAGATATGTGTGCATCAGAGATGACCTCTCCCTTTAAGCCTTTGATGGTGAAAAGATTAGTCCAACTAGTCAAAGATCAAAAGGTGGTGATGAACGATGGAGAATTTGTTCCCATAAAACCCCCAAAATACCAGAAATATTCGTTTGACGTAACTAAGACCGTAGAAATCTATGAGGAATTGGTACATGCAAGGGTAATTATGCCCGATAACACTAAAAAGTTGCCCAAGCCCGAGGAATTAAGAGGGAAAAAGTATTGCAAGATGCACTACATCTTCAACCATTCCATCACCAACTATGTCCAGTTTAGAGACTGGGTGCAAGATCTCATCATTAAAGGAAAGTTGCTATTAGAAAAACCTCAGGCCGACATGATGATAGACACGGATCCTTTCCTTGAAACCCTAATAAATATAATCAACTTAACATGGGCCAAGAAGGGGAAAGGGAGAGCCACTTGGGAGGTAAAAGTAGAATGAAAGATCCACAAAGGAAACTCTTAAGATGCCCTAAAAATCCAAAGCAGCCATAATAGAGGGGGTAGCTTTATACAAGTAACGCTAATATAAGTATGAGCTAGAAGTACCAGCAGCAAAAGACATCCTCAATCAGAAGATGATCAAGAAAAGAAAGAAGGAAAAACTAGAAGCTTGCATAAGTGTTTTGAGGACAACCAAAAAAAGAAACCGCAGGGAAGATCCTCCAAAGGTTGGGATACGATTTTCAACTAAAAGACTTGTCCAAGATGTTCATAAGTTTTTCTTAACAAGATCGGGTAAATTTGGAGAGAGATTTCTACTATTAAAAGTCTAGAAAGTTAAATAGAAGAAGATTTCATTTCATGAAGGGATTACATAAATCTTAGTCCAACAGCTTTACATCTTCGGCCATAGCAACTATTCTAGAAAAGTAAGTTTGCATGATGGTAAAAATTCGGCCTGGTTCTCCTAAATACATGTTGCTGTTCACAAATTGGGTTTTGGAATCCTCAACCACTTGCGAAATTTTCTTCATCTCTTCTACATTTTGGGAGATGTGGTTGATGATGGTCATTTTCTCGGCTTTGAGTAAAGACAATTGTTCCTCCAAACGCTGGATTTCAGAATCAACCACTGTCATCATTTCTTCCACCACTGACCTTTCTTCTACCAACAACCAGAGCGCGGCTGTACTCTTCATATGTTTTTCCTGAAAGCACTTCACTCTATTGGACACCCGCTCTGCCTTCTGATGTTGATCCCTTAATGCCTGCAAATTCTTGAAAAAACTTAAAAAAGACTTGTACTAAGCGTAGGACAACAACTGAGCTTGGTAAAGCTTAATAAAGGCATTCTCCGCATTATGGAGAATCTTAAGGCTGAAAGAAGCTATGAAGTCCCGTTTCATCCAATCCTTGAAGATTTGATGAGCATTTTGAAAAGAAAGAGACTCAGAAGATGTTGGAGGTGACTGCAGTTTAGTTTTGATTTGCCCGAATTTCTTTAATAGGTTAGGCAAGTACGATGCTGAAGAAGCAGAAGGTGCACCTTTCGCACATTTAACCGTAGAAGTGGGGGTAACCTCAGCTAAAGGAGTAGGAATGATTGCAGGAGCAGGAATGAAAATAGTTGTTGTAGAAGTATTGGCTCGCTTACTCACAGGCTTAGAGATAGAGACTCATGTGATACCAAAACCAGGAAGGGGCGAGAAAGATATCTTTTGCGCACTATGTGCAGTGGAGATTTGCCTGAACCTTCTCCAGAACCCTATTGCAACCAAGACAGATGTG